AATTAATTATTATAAGTAATTAAGTGTTAAGTATCGACACGAATAATACTTGAAATATAAGTTGTGAATTTTATTAAGTAGTCATGCATTAAGTAGCCGCCGTAGGTACGTTATAAGTAGATGAAGTGATTATAAGTTACCAGGAGTGTTAAGTAGTGCCCGTAGGTAAATTATAAGTGGATGAAGTGACTTTAATTAATTATTCTGTAATAATTAATGTTAAGTAGTGTTAAGTATCAATATTAACACTTAAATGAATATAAGTAATGTAAGTAACGAACTTTAGTGATACTTTACACTTAACCAGGTCGTCCTCCCATGATTAATGCGTTTGGGTACGGTATGTATTTCTGACACACGGTGAATAATGATAAAAATTACCACAGAAAAGTTGTCATGGGTATAAAGCTCTGTTGTTTGTGTGTGTGTGTGTGTGTGTGTGTGTGTGTGTGTGTATGTATGTGTGTATGTGCTTAGGAAATAGCATACTGTGTTTATTATTCGTGGTTTTGTTGTATTATTCGTGGTTTTGTTGTATTATTCATGGTTTTGTTGTATTATTCGTGGTTTTGTTGTATTATTCGTGGTTTTGTTGTATTATTCGTGGTTTTGTTGTATTATTCGTGGTTTTGTTGTATTATTCGTGGTTTTGTTGTATTATTCGTGGTTTTGTTGTATTATTCGTGGTTTTGTTGTATTATTCGTGGTATTGTTGTATTATTCGTGGTTTTGTTGTATTATTCGTGGTTTTGTTGTATTATTCGTGGTTTTGTTGTATTATTCGTGGTTTTGTTGTATTATTCGTGGTTTTGTTGTATTATTCGTGGTTTTGTTGTATTATTCGTGGTTTTGTTGTATTATTCGTGGTTTTGTTTTATTATTCGTGGTTTTGTTGTATTATTCGTGGTTTTGTTTTATTATTCGTGGTTTTGTTGTATTATTCGTGGTTTTGTTGTATTATTCGTGGTTTTGACAACGTAAGTAACAGCATCTGCAGGAAACACAGCAACAGTGATGTAAGGAACAGCAGCAGCCTCAACAGTAACAAGAACAGCAGCTAAAGGTCCTTCTCCAACAGTAACAAGAACAGCAACTAAAGGTCCTCCTCCAACAGTAACAAGAACAACAACTAAAGATCCTTCTCCAACAGTAACAAGAGCAACAACTAAAGGTCCTTCTCCAACAGTAACAAGAACAACAACTAAAGGTCCTCCTCCAACAGTAACAAGAACAACAACTAAAGGTCCTCCTCCAACAGTAACAAGAACAACAACTAAAAAGATTAAACATAACAGTTACAAGAACAGCAACAAAAGGTCCTTCTACTCCAACAGTAACAGAACAACAACTAAAGGTCCTCCTCAGCTTGTGCCAGACAACTTGACTAAGATCCTTCTCAACAGTAACCAAGAACAACAGCTGAGGTCCTTCTCAACAGTAACAGGAGCAACCTTCAAAGGTCCTCCTCCAACAGTAACAAGAACAACAGCCCCAAAAGGTCCTCCTCAACAATGGCACAGGTAACAACTAAAGGTCCTCCTCCAACAGTAATAAGGAGACAACAACTAGGTCACTCCTCAACAGTAACAAGAACAGCAGCTAAAGGTCCTTCTCCAACAGTAACAAGAACAGCAACTAAAGGTCCTCCTCCAACAGTAACAAGAACAACAACTAAAGATCCTTCTCCAACAGTAACAAGAGCAACAACTAAAGGTCCTTCTCCAACAGTAACAAGAACAACAACTAAAGGTCCTCCTCCAACAGTAACAAGAACAACAACTAAAGGTCCTCCTCCAACAGTAACAAGAACAGCAACTAAAGGTCCTCCTCCAACAGTAACAAGAACCACAACTAAAGGTCCTCCTCCAACAGTAGGCGTCACAGCAGCCATAAGAAGTAACAGCATTTGAAGCAGGATTAGTCACAGCGGCAGCAGAAGAAGCAGAAGCAACAGCAGTACAACCAACAGCCTTGCACACGCAGCAAGAGCAGGCGGTACAGCAGCAGCAGAAGCAGTAGGCGTCACAGCAGCAGCAGCAGGAGCAGTAGGCGTCACAGCAGCAGCAGCAGGAGCAGTAGGCGTCACAGCAGCAGCAGGAGCAGTAGGCGTCACAGCAGCAGCAGGAGCAGTAGGCGTCACAGCAGGGCGTAGACGTCGCAGCAGGGCAAGACATTGGGCGTCACAGCAGCAGCAGGAGCAGTAGGCGTCACAGCAGCAGCAGGAGCAGTAGGCGTCACAGCAGCAGCAGGAGCAGTAGGCGTCACAGCAGGAGCAGGAGCAGTAGGCGTCACAGCAGCAGCAGGAGCAGTAGGCGTCACAGCAGCAGCAGAGGCGGAGGAGTGTGGAGGCGCAAGAGGTGGTCAGCTTGAACCCTCCCTCCCATGCAGGGACCCGGGGGGGCGCTACTCTTCCCTTCCCCTTCCCCCTGCCCTCTCTCTCTCTCTCCCTTCCCTCCCTCTCCCTTAACCTTCCCTCCCTCTCCCTTACCATTCCCTCCCTCTCCCTTACCCTTCCCTCCACACCATCCTTCACGGGGCCACACCAGACCACCCCTCACCACTCCTACCACATCAGCCTTCATCCTGGAAACACATCCCACCCCCTCTCCTTCCACCACTGGGGTCACTCATCCCCATCACATCACCCATCGTGGTGTGCAGAACTCTCTCCCCACCCCCTTCCCTACCCACCCCTTCTATCACACTTCTGGGGCACCAGGATTTCATGTGAAACATACAGGTACCAGAACTTCACCTTGCCCATAGCCTGCCCCGATCTCCCACCCCTCTGCCCTGCCCCCGCCCCGCCCCGCCTGTTTACCACCCCATACCGCCCCTTGCCCTTAGACCAGAAACCGCCTGAAGTGACCGCCAAAGAATTGAGAATTTTATCCACTGCTGAAACTACCACTAAGGAACAACCACCCATAAATGTTGAGAGATTGTGGTTGTTATGTAGGTAGTGGTTGTTGATAGATGGTGGTGGTCATGTAGATAGTGGTTGACGATGGGTAATAGTAGTGGTCGTGGTCGTGTAGATAGTTGTTGGAGAAGGATGGTGGTAGTGGTTATGTAGATAGTTGGTGTTGTTGAGGGATGCTGATGATGGTCATGTAGATAGTGGTTGACAATGAGTAGTAGTAGTAGTAGTAGTAGTAGTAGTAGTAGTAGTAGTAGTAGTAGTATGGCGAGATCTTCCAACACAGGACTTCAAACACATCTAACGAAGCCCGCGTGGACGTCACTGCTCGAGGATTCTGGACGCGGGGACAGCAAGCTTTCTTCGACATCAGGATTTTTGATCCCATGGCCGCATGTCACCGTAACCTAGCTCTCGATGCTGCACATAGGAGGAACGAGAACGACAAGAGAAGGGCATATGGGGAGAGAATTCAAAATGTTGATCAAGGCAGCTTCACTCCTCTAGTGTTCACAACCTCTGGTGGGATGGGCCCAAGTGCAAGATGTTTCTACGCCAGACTCGCGGAGATGATCTCCGAACAGAAGCAGCAGCCCAGAAGTTATGTTACAGCCTGGATGAGATGTCGACTGTCTTTCTCTCTCCTTCGGTCGGCTTTGCTGCAGATATTGACTATGAGGCTACAGTCACTGAATGCCGCATAGATCTGCGGCTCAACTAATTTAACACAGATAGGATAGCTTCTTATGTATTAGGATATTTAATATTAAGGTAAATAAATGGTGGCGAAGGTGTGGCTATTGGGGGAGGCTGGAGGCCACGTTTGCTTGGAAAAAAAAGTAGTAGTAGTAGTGGTAGTAGTCATACGGATTGTTGTTATTAACCAGACACTTTCACTTTACCCCAAAAAATCCTGACCTCAAAAATAACCCAAATTTCGCGAAATCTCTGAACGCTAAAAGGTCAACTGAAGGTCAAAGGTCAAATTCTGGTACGGAACATAATTCGTATATATCTTTTACGGGTTTAGACATCAATGTGTAATGAATTAATTAGTGGACGACCACCCAATTGAGGTCATCTCTCGTTGTGGTAAGGTCAAGGTCATCTGTTTGAAGGTCAGGTGGTGATTGGGTATGACTGAGTGAGTCTCTCTCTCTCTCTCTCTCTCCTCTCCTTCTACCGTGTCCTCAAATTGTCTCTTCCAGGATACCATCACTGCCATTACCATCACTTATTACCATCATTACCATCACCACCCATTACTGTTATTACCATCACTACCACCACTCACCACCATCACCGCTCACCACTACAACCATCACCACCACCACTAACCACTACCACACTCACCATCACCACTACCACCATCACCATCACCACCACCACCATCACCACTACCACCATCACCACTACCACCATCACCCATCATTCATCAAAGCCTAAATAAACATACCACTTATATAATTACCGTTCCTATATATAGATTGAGTTATATACTAAGAACTCTCTACAAAACTTAATTCATATATAATAGATACGTAATTAAATTGTGATTCTTATAATTAGGGTCTAGTGATTTTATAGTTGATATAATGAGATGTTTTTAAATTATATAAAGAATGGGATGATAAATATTGATTGGTGTTGTTATTTTTAGTGGTGAGTGGTGGTGAGTGGTGAGTGGTAGGTTGTGGTGGTGGTGAGTGTTGTGGTATGTGATGGTAGAGTGGTGATGGTGGTGAGTGGTGGTGGTGAGTGGTGGTGATGGTGGTGGTGGAGTGGTGGGTGGTTGGGGTGGGTGAGGAGGTGTGGTGAGTGGTGGTGGTGGTGGTTGTGGTGAGTGGTGGCGGAGTGGTGGTGAGTGGTGGGTGAGTGGTGGTGGTGGTGGTGGTGGTGGTGGTTGTGGGTGAGTGGTGGCGGTGAGTGGTGGCGGTGAGTGGTGGTGGTGAGTGGTGAGTGGAGTGATGGTAATAATAATAGTAGTCGTAATAATAGTAATAATAACAACAATAATAATAATAATAACAAAATATCATGAATGAAGCGAAAATAACAAGTTTCCTTCCTTCTTTCTTTCAGCACCATGAAAAACAAATGGGGACTTCAATCACACCTGCCCAGGGAATTAAGGTCGTTCTCTTTACCTGTAATTAAAACACAACAGGTGTGCCATAACAACAATAATACAACCGGTGTATTATAACAACATCAATTTACCTGTCTGTAAACATTGTGTGACGTCATGAAGGTATTGTAAACATTGTGTGACGTCATGAAGGTGTTGTAAACATTGTGTGACGTCATGAAGGTGTTGTAAACATTGTGTGACGTCATGAAGGTGTTGTAAACATTGTGTGACGTCATGAAGGTGTTTAGCATGGGTGTTAATATGTGTTAATATCCTCCCCCTTCTCCTCCCCCCTCTCCCCTCTCCTCCACTCCTTCTCCCCCCTCCCTCCACCTACCTTCCCCTTCTCTCTATTTCACCTTCCACCCTCTCCTTTCCCTCCTTCCCCCCTCTTCCCTCTCCCCCTCCCTTCCCTCACCCCACCCCTACCTACCTCCTCCCTCCTCCTCCTCCTCCTCCTCCTCCTCCTCCTCCCTCCTCCTGCTTCACCCTCCTCCCCCCCCACCTACCTCCTCCTGCTTCCACCCTCCTCCCCCCACCTCTCCTCCCCCCCTCTCTAATAACATAATCCCATATCAGCTAAAAAAAACAGGGTTAATAAGACCATTTTTTCTATAATTATAATTGTAAATTGAGCCACTACCTGTTGCTGTGTAAACATGTGTGTGTGTGTAAATATTGGGTTTCATTTACAGGTTTTTTTTTACAATATGGGGTGTAAATGTGCTGTGTTTGTTTGTTTTGTTTGTTTGGTATGGAGGTAATTTTTGTGTGTGTGTGTGTGTGTGTGTGTGTGTGTCAGGTTCTTTCTGTTTATCTGTGTGTGTCTGTCTGTCTGTCTGTCTGTCTGTCTGTTAATAAGACGAGAGGCTCCAGATTGACTACCGTATCAGGGGAGTCATTGAGGCCTGTACGTGCGTATGTGTCCTTAGGTACGTGGGTATGTGTCCTTAGGTATATAGTTATGTATCCATGTGTCCTTATCACCAAGATACATACACATTGAACAATCACGAATAGATGGCTGAGTGGAAAGCCCTAACCGCCTGCCTTAAGAATCAATGGTTCGAACCCAGGGAACACCACAGTCCACCCAGCTGTTAATAGGTACCTGACTTGACAGTTTGGGACGCGATGGCTGTTGAGTGCAGTGCCTCTCCGCCCGCCTCCTTGTGTACTGACATAGAGAGAGACAGATGGAGAGATGATAGACAGACAGAGTGAAAGAGAGTGGGGAGAGAGTGTGAGAGGAAGAGAGGGAAGAGTGTGATAGAGACAAGAATATAAGAGGAAAAGTGTTAGAATGCGAGTGTGTGTGAGAGAGTGAGAGAGTGTGTGAGTGTGTGTGTGAGAGTGTGTGAGTGTGTGAGGTGAGTGTGTGAGAGTGAGAGTGTGTGAGTGTGTGTGTGAGAGTGAGGTGTGTGTGAGTGTGTGTGAGTGAGAGCAACAACTCGGGAGGTGTGAGAGGAAGGAAGGTGGTGTATCCTGGTGAGCGTTTGAGGCGGAAAGTTATGATGTGGTGCTTGGCAAGGGAGAGGGACAGTGAGAGGGAGAGGGACACTGAGAGAGGGAGGAGGACAGTGAGATGGGAGAGGGGAGAGAGGACAGTTAGAGGGAGGAGGGAGAGGGACAGTGAGAGGGAGGGACAGTGAGAGGGAGGAGGGAGAGAGGGACAGTGAGAGGGAGGAGGGGAGAGAGGGACAGTAGAGAGGGAGGAGGGAGAGAGGGACAGTGAGGAGGGAGGGAGGGAGAGGGACAGTGAGGGAGGGAGGGAGAGGGACAGTGAGGGGGAGGAGGGTGGGAGGGAGAGGGACAGTGAGGGAGGAGGGAGAGGAGGGGTGGAAGAAGGACAGTGAGAGGGGTGGCAGTGATAGAGTTGGGAGGGAAGGAGAGGAGATATGGTAGGGAAGAAACAAGGAAGAGAGGGAAGGAGGGCTTAGAGAGGGAGACAAGGAGGGAGCTTAGAGAGGGAGACAAGGAGGGAGCTTAGAGAGGGAGACAAGGAGGGGCAGAGGGAGAGAAGGCCCTCTTGAGGTATGACTTCCCTCACGCTGTGGCTCCTCCTGGAGACTGTAGTGTCCCAGGCTATCGACTTCTCCACCAGACCACCACAGCCGCCCTCCCTCCCTTACCCCTCCTTCTCTCCCTCACCCCTCCTCCTCCCCCCCCCCTCCTACTATCCCTTACCTACCTGCTCTCTTCCTCCCTCTGTTGTCCTCCTCCTCCTCTGTTGTCCTCCTCCCTCCCTCCTCCTCCTCCTCCTCCTCCCTCCCGCCTTATCAGTACCTTCTATCATATTTATTTTTCGTGTTTTTCATTGCTGTTCCTTATTCTGTTTCTTGACGGGTGTCCTGCTGTTTCTTGACAGGGTGTCCTGCTGTTTCTTGACGGGTGTCCTGCTGTTTCTTCACGGGTGTCCTGCTGTTTCTTGACAGGTGTCCTGCTGTTTCTTGACAGGTGTCCTGCTGTTTCTTGACGGGTGTCCTGCTGTTCTTGACGGGTGTCCTGCTGTTTCTTGACGGGTGTCCTGCTGTTTCCTGACGGGTGTCCTGCTGTTTCTTGACGGGTGTCCTGCTGTTTCTTGACGGGTGTCCTGCTGTTTCCTGACGGGTGTCCTGCTGTTTCTTGACGGGTGTCCTGCTGTTTCTTGACGGGTGTCTTGCTGTTTCTTGACGGATGTCATGCTGTTTCCTGACGGGTGTCCTGCTGTTCCTGACAGGTTCCTGCTGTTTCCTGCTGTTCCTTGACGGGTGTCCTGCTGTTTCCTGCTGTTCCTGACGGGTTCCTGATGTTTCCTGCTGTTCCTGACCGGTTCCTGCTGTTCCTGACGGGTGTCCTGCTGTTTCTTTGAGATGTCATGCTGTTTCCTGACGGGTGTCCTGCTGTTCCTGACGGGTTCCTGCTGTTTCCTGCTGTTCCTTGACGGGTGTCCTGCTGTTTCCTGCTGTTCCTGACGGGTTCCTGATGTTTCCTGCTGTTCCTGACGGGTTCCTGCTGTTTCCTGACGGGTGTCCTGCTGTTCCTGCTGTTCCTGACGGGTGTCCTACTGTTCCTGACGGGTGTCCTGCTGTTTCCTGACGGGTGTCCTGCTTGCCTGCTAATTGTTATACCTTCTCTTGTGTTTCGTTTAAGTCTCCGAGGGGCAACAGGAGGCCATCTTGTTCTCCACCCTGTGTTGTTCTTCTTCTTCTTCTTCATTCTCCTTGTACTCTTCTTCTTCTTCTTCTTCTTCTTCTTCTTCTTCTTCTTCTTCTTCTTCTTCTTCTTCTTCTTCTTCTTCTTCTTCTTCTTCTTCTTCTTCTTCTTCTTCTTCTTCTTCTTCTTCCTTCTTCTTCTTCCTTCCTTCTTCCTTCCTTCTTCTTCTTCTTCTTCTTCTTCTTCTTCTTCTTCTTCTTCTTCTTCTTCTTCTTCTTCTTCTTCTTCTTCTTCTTCTTCTTCTTCTTCTTCTTCTTCTTCTTCTTCTTCTTCTTCTTCTTCTTCTTCTTCTTCTTCTTCTTCTTCTTCTTCTTCTTCCTTCTTCTTCTTCTTCTTCTTCTTCTTCTTCTTCTTCTTCTTCTTCTTCTTCTTCTTCTTCTTCTTCTTCTTCTTCTTCTTCTTCTTCTTCTTCTTCTTCTTCTTCTTCTTCTTCTTCTTCTTCTTCTTCTTCTTCTTCTTCTTCTTCTTCTTCTTCTTCTTCTTCTTCTTCTTCTTCTTCTTCTTCTTCTTCTTCTTCTTCTTCTTCTTCTTCTTCTTCTTCTTCTTCTTCTTCTTCCTTCTTCTTCTTCTTCTTCTTCTTCCTTCTTCTTCTTCTTCTTCTTCTTCTTCTTCTTCTTCTTCTTCTTCTTCTTCTTCTTCTTCTTCTTCTTCTTCTTCTTCTTCTTCTTCTTCCTTCTTCTTCTTCTTCTTCTTCTTCTTCTTCCTTCTTCTTCTTCTTCTTCTTCTTCTTCTTCTTCTTCTTCTTCTTCTTCTTCTTCTTCTTTCTTCTTCTTCTTCCTTCTTCTTCTTCTTCTTCTTCTTCTTCTTCTTCTTCTTCTTCTTCTTCTTCTTCTTCTTCTTCTTCTTCTTCTTCCTTCTCCTTCTCCTTCTTCTTCTTCTTCTTCTTCTTCTTCTTCTTCTCTCCTCCTCCTCCTCTTCTTCTTCCTCTTCCTCTTCCTCTTCTTCTTCTTCCTCTTCTTCTTCTTCTTCTTCTTCTTCTTCTTCTTCTTCTTCTTCTTCTTCTTGTCTGCTCAAGTTAACTAAAATAATGTCCCTTTATGCACCAGGCTCCTACCTTTCCATACCTGACATCAGCGTCTTGCTCTTGTCCCAGAATGATGTCACAAACAACCAGATGTCTGTAGACTCCCTGTAGTTCCTTGTGAGATGAAGTCACTTAACACCAAGGGCTAGAATCCTGATATCACACTTGATTCCTGACATCACTTCCCTTGACTCCTTACATCACTTCCCTTGACTCCTGACATCACTCCCCTTGATTCCTTACATCACCCTTGACTCCTGACATCACCTCCCTTGACTCCTGACATCCTCCCTTGACTCCTGACATCACACTTGACTCCTGGCATCACCCTTTGGCTCCTGACATCACCTTTGACATCGCTCTGAAAATTATGTCACAGGGATCAATTTATTTTCGGTTCTATGAGTTACTGGGATATTATTTTAAAAATTCATATTTGACCCACATAGGGCGGGGGGCTAGTTTATTGTGGTAGTAGTGGTGGTTGTGGTAGTAGTTGTGGTAGTAGTAGTGGTGCTGGTGGTGGTGGTAGTAGTAGTAGTGAAAAGTAGTAGTGGTGGTGGTGGTGGTGGTTGTAGTGGCAGTAGTGGTTGTGGTAGTAGTTGTGGTAGTAGTAGTGGTAGTAGTAGTGGTCGTAGTAGTGATAGTGGTTGTGGTAGTAGTATTGGTAGTCGTATTGTTGACAGATGGCCACGAGGGTTCATTATCGACCAATCGCTACGCCAACCCAATCCCTGTCTGCTGGTGGTAGTTTGGTGTTTCTAGTAGTTGTGGTAGTTGTGG